TTTTGTTTGGTGATTGAGAGTTTCCAGAAATTCATAAACATTACAACGGAATTTATTTATACTTTCCACATAAACAATTTATTGTTTTGTTTTCATTTTACATTTGAATAAATGTGCTGCGCATTTTAAAGGATGCGCCAACGTTAGACCTTCACTTTCATAAAAAAAACTACACGTGCCTAATAAATATGTTGTTGCAATTTTTTACGTGAAACAAAAATGCTCACAGAAATAATCTAAGGTATTCCACCCATCAAAAATTCATTTCCGCTTGATAAAAATTTCAATACCAATGAAGTTGAAGTTGGCATTTCAACTGGTTTCAAGGTAACCAGTAAAATGCATAAAGCTGCGATACGGACGACTTCCTGCTTCTGCATTGTTAGTTTCGAAAAATAAAAATTAGTGGCAAGTCTAATGCTAATGGAAGCTAATGAATAACCTTGGACCGTTACAAGTATGCTTGCTTTGCTGTGGATGTTTGGGCTGTGGCCATGACATGACTTACAAAAATGAAACACCGTTCTATTATGATTTCGATTGAAGTGGTGACACACTTTTACAAAACACAGATGGATTTTAAATGTCAATTTGATGTGATATTTTTGTTAATTGCAAACATTGATGGTGGTTTGATTGATTCTAATGTACACTCCACTATCTAATGGCAATAACTTTTACCACATTTAAAAAAGATCAAATTAAATTACCTACATTTCACCAACCAACTGAGCTTCGTTAGGACAATATTGAAAATAACTTGAATTAAATTCAAGGTTTTCGTATGCTCATCTACATTAAATTACAGTAATAATGAGAAGCTGACATTTGTCAAAGCTGATAAATCTGAAATGCAGTCGTATTTCGTGTAAATAATTTATTTGTAAATTGCAAAGCACTCTCGGCTTTTACGCCATCATCAGTGCGATGCCTGCAAGTAAGTGATATTCGTGAAATTTGTTTGAAGTTAAACTTTGAATTTTTTTTTTATTACTTACTCGTCAAGCATATACAAGAAGATCCTGTAGAAACAAAACTTTAGTACAACACTACTATGAGTAGACGTGAACATTACAATAAATACCCTTTTGGGTTTAACATATTAGTATTTTGTTTAAAAAAATAATAAACTATTTATAGCGTTCTCAATGACGAGAACGAGGAGAAAAAGGAAGTGAAAATTTGACATAGACATAAGATCATCATCAATTATAGAACATATTTAGTTTGACAAATGACATATATAGTAACCAAAATACGTAACCACCTTGGATAATTTTTACGTATTGTGATTACTACATATGTCATTTGTCAAACTGTAATAAAAGAAAATTAAAATAATTATGAATTTCATGCTTATTTCCGAGTGAAATATAAATCAAATATAGATGGTAATGAAATAAATTTAATTAAATATAATAAATGAACATAATTCAATAAACGATTGAGGTTATATCTCATTCTAATCAATGGTAATTAACTATGATAAATTTACTATTCATTTCATGTTTAGAGCATACATATGAATATTTATTTATTTTTTGCACTGTTAAATCCACTCTCGTCGAAGCATGCATCCATTTCTTACATCTATGCAACGTCGTTTCACTTTTTATTGTCACAAATATTCATTCCTCAATTTATTCAACTAACAATTTATTTGTTTGAATTTAATTGATTCATGCATTTGTTCGACACATTAAAAACGATTGTTCGCAAAATTTGTTCTATTTTAAATGACACTTGATTTGAAATGTTACATGACTTAATTTGTTTGATGAAAAGTTGCGAACAGTTATAATATAGACTCATTATTTGAAATTTTTGGAAGTAAATGTTTGTCATTTATACTTTTTTTGTAACTATCGAATAATTTACTACAATTTCTGTGAAACATGAAGAAAATTGTTTGTTGAAAATTATAGTTATAACGATTGTTGATAATTTTAATTCGGCGCTAGTGTCGAACGGATTCTTGCAGAAGCTGAATTTTTAAATTTGGCAACATGATAGTTTAGTGATAGTAACACAATATTCCGTCCGACCGCAGCGCCGAATAAAAATTATTAACAATCAATTAAATTCATGTATCACCTAAAAGCAACAATCAATACAATTCATTTTTACATACATACCAATAGAAAGTAAAACGGCGTGCCACGCCGTTTTACTTGGTGGTTTCATAAAAAAATGTATACTTATTTCAGTATTCCTTCAGTTGAAACAATTGACCTGTTTGAGAATTGCTCAGACAGAAACCATGTTAATCCTGAAGTAAAACAGGAAATTCGTCAATCAGGTACAATTTGTTCATCTCAAAATTGTTTTCAATTTATTGACAAATTGTATTTAGGCAGAGATGTGTTAATTAATGATGGGAAATTCTTTTGAGTCCTTTGCTAGGTGAAATTTTGCCTCTGTCAATCATTCATTCAATCATTATGGCATCATTGGCATCCTCAGTCTACTTCATTTCTTGAAAACGCTTGAGGAAGCTACTGTACAGGTGAATCCATGTTGCGGTTTTGTAAACTGTCCAGCGAAAATTTCGCAGTGTTACTTGAATTTGCCAGCTTGATTGGTAAAACGCACGTCGAGAAGGGTGTTGCAGTTCTTGTATGTGGGGGCAGCGCTTGTTTTGAATTTATTCTACGTCAGGATCTAGTGTTACCTTTCAGTTATTCTTGTAATATGTATGTTTATGTATTTCATCAGTTCGGACTTCCATTGTCTAATATAAATGGATTTGAAATCCGTGAAATAAATTAAAAGGATTAACGGAAAATAACAATCTTATTAAAACAAAAACTGAAATTACAAAAAAAAAATACAAGCAACAACCAAAAAAAAAATTAAAATTAAAAGATTTCAAACCAAGTTGCGTCACGAAGTTTCGATTGTTAGTATCCACAATCGTCTTCGAGTGATAACTGGACTTATTCCTCCGAGATCCGACTATTTATAGGTCATTCGAGTGCTTTAACCTATCCCCTCTTCCTTCTCACCGCTTCATTGGTTTTAACGGGAGATGACCGTTTGGTGGGAGTTGGTCGTTTTTCGCTTGATTAGAAGTTTCCATATGTTACGTATCTCTACGCTAGCTTGACTAAATGCGTTGTTGGACAACATATACGCGGCTTCTTTGAATTTTCTCTTAAACCAGTGTTCCTCTTTGTGGATGATTTCAGCTTGAGCCCATTTGATATTATGTTGACGAGTCCAAACATGCTCTGCTATTCCGGATTTCCTGGTTTCTCCTCGCTGTGTGTATTTCTTGTGCTCAGCAATGCGAACTTTCAATGGCCTCTTAGTTTTACCGATGTATGATTCTCCGCACTCGCAGGGTATCCGGTAAATGCAATCCTTGGAATCGCAGTCCGCGTTTGGTGGCCTGGTTTTCATGAGGCTGCTAAGGATAGTGTTTCCAGATCTGAAGCAGGTCCTGATGTTATACTTGGACCCAATCCTTCTTATCCTTTCCGATAATCCTCTGATGTAGGGAAGTACAAATACAAGTTGTGACGGCTTCTCTTCCTTGTGGAGCTCTTGCTGTCTTCTAGCTAAAGCCTGTTCTACCATCACTCTGGAGTAACCATTCCGTTGAAGGTCATTTTTGATGATGCCTAGTTCCTTTTCGAGACCTTCCTTTGTATTACAGAGCCCGAAGGCACGGTCAATTAGAGTCTTGATGATTCCTCTCTTAGTCGATTGATGATGGTTGGATTTCTGGTTCAGATACTGTCCTGTGTGAGTGGGTTTTCGATAAACAGATGTTTCCTATTTAGTGTCGGTCGTCTTCACCAATACGCCTAAGAAAGGCAATTCGTTGTGGACTTCCTTCTCCATTGTGAAAGTGATGGAAGGACTTACTTTGTTGATGTGCTTCAGGAAAGTGTCTAGTTCTGCATCCCCATGGTTCCATATTATGAAAGTGTCGTCTACGTATCTCAACCAATTTCGGTGCTTCTTGTGGGCTTCTTCAATGGCCAGAGTTTCAAACCACTCCATATATATATTAGCTATAACCGGTGAAAGTGGCGATCCCATTGGCAGTCCCTCATCTTGCATAAAAAATCCGCCCTTCAGTTGGAAGTAGCAGTTTCATACACAGCATCCTAGTAATTCCATGGTTACTTGTATCGGTAAGTTTGTTGTATCTTTCAGGTCCTCATCTTCGGATAGCTTCTTCTGAATGATTTGAAGTGCTTCTTCGACAGGAACGTTGGTGTAGAGGCTGTCCACGTCGAAACTGATTAGTTGATCCTGCTCTTCGACTTCGATTTCCACTAGTAGTTCAACGAAATGCCTTGAATTTTTCACAAAAGATGATGTTTTACCTTGCAATGGTTCGATTAGTGGTTGTAAAAATCTGGACAAGTTGTGAGTGGCTGAATCTCTGGAGCTAATGATTGGTCTGAGCGGAACATCCTTTTTGTGGATTTTGGGTAGTCCATTCAAGTGAGGGGGCTTACTGTGGTGCGGTGTTAGCGACGATCTCTCTTTTTCCAAAAAATAGACTTGGTGTTTTTCCCGCTAAAACCAGTGACGTGGGAGAGGGAAAAGTGGTGAAAGCACTCGAATGACCTATAAATAGTCGTTTCTCGGAGGAATAAGTCCAGTTGTCACCCGAAGACGATTGTGGATACTAACAATCGAAACGTCGTGACGTAACTTGGTTTGGAATCTTTTAATTTTTCATTTTTTGTTAATAATATCTTTTAATTTTCAGCTTTTATTATTATTTAAATTTTTTATTTTTTTGTTTGTTGCTTGTATATTATTTCTTTGTAATTTCAGTTTTTTTTGTTTAATAAATGGAAGTCCGGACTGCTGAAATACAGCACGAAACATTGTCAACCACCTTCAAACGAATGTATGTTTATGTTATTCCCTGGTGCACTATTTACAACAACCTCATTATGATGAACTTCATTAAGAACATTCCAATTTCTACAGCTTCAACCTACCCACTATTCCCACTAATACTTCGATTTTTTCAGAGGAAAAGTTTGTGAAGATTCTGAGGAGGAGTTTTATTACACCGAAATCGAAATAGGCCAGACCAGCCCACCACCTACTCTCTCTCATCAGGACATGGCCAGACCCTTCCACGAAGATCCGGACTATCAGAGGCAATTGGTTGGAAGTATGCGTCAAAGCCTCTTGAACAATCTCCCCTTACCTCAATCACCAAACAAGCAAATTAAGCTTTCACCTCGTCCGAATAGTCCTAAAACACCGGTTTCACCCAGAAGAGTCAGAGGCGAAAACAAAAAGTGCCGTAAAATTTACGGAATGGACCATAAAGATCAGTGGTGCACCCAATGCAAATGGAAGAAGGCGTGCGTCAGGTTCGGCGAATGCGCTAAAACTAGTGATCAAAAATAGGTGTTCTGACTGGGACAAAAAAGGTGCGAACTACCTTGATCTCAAACCACTTGATGAAAGTACAATTCATGACGTTTTCTTAATTATGGCAGATCTGTTACTCAAGCTAATACTGTGTTCTGTAAAAAGGTACCTAACGTATCAAATTGATGGACATTGTAGCTCTTCGAGTGCTTAACTTGGTAGAGTTTTATCAATTGACTTCCACAAATTGAAATTTCCTCAAATTGGATACAAATACATAAAATTAGTAAGCTTCAAGAAAGGTCTGAAGAAAATGGGCACAACTAAATAATTTATATTCAGTACATTAATAACAATCAACTAATGGTCAATTTAATTATGGTGCGTCTATCACATCTGCGTCTGCAAGTATCGGTGGCTTGTTAGAAATAACTCAGTGATAGAAATATTATCATTCTCATCCAGCTAAGCTTGCTTTAAGCTCCAACACCTGATAATGTTTCTAACCATCAGCACTCAGTAACAAATAGGTAACGTCTAGTGTCTGCGTTATCACATGTGACCAATGTAAAAAAAATAGGAGATAGCCCAATTGTTGAAAAGTAATTGAACTTGGGTTTTTCAAATTTTAGTTGCCCATATTCTTCAATTCTTTCTTGATTCAAAAACTTTTCAACCAATTCAACGAAAATCTGGCACGAAAACCTGTGTTATCCATTCGAACTGACGTGTATCATAATATCAACTAACTGAAAAAAAACCTCTTTCGAATCAAGAATACAGATAGAAAGTCTCCTCAATGTGAGATTGATGTTATACTTAGTTGAAATGTTAAATTTAAAATACATAGAAATATGAGTTGAAAGGGTTATATTTTTAGGAGTGATACATTTTTGGGGAAAGAAAGTTTTTGGCTTTCTACTACTACATCTTGATATATGTAAGTGAAAAAAATCTACCTTTCATTTAGTATATTGTCTAGAAATATGATGTGAATGATATCTGATTTAATTCCATAACAAATGTTTGGAATAGAAACTGAGTATAGAAAACTGTTTTTGTATAATTCAGTGTTCATATACAAGTATTTGTTTCAAAAGAATATTTCTTTTGTGTAATTCAATGTTTATATGAAAGTAGCTGTTTCAGGAGGGCTTTCTCTTCCAGTTTGTGTCTAAAAGTTACTTACTTACAATCTACTTATTTCAAAACTGATTACTTCCTTCCTTTCTTTGGAAGATTATCACATTTTTTGTATCAAGATGGAGTAGTAGAAAGCCAAAAATTTCATTCCCCAAAAACAAAGAAATATATTCTTGAGTTTGATGTATTCAAGCACAACTTCCAGCTCACAAATATCATTTTATGATTTCATCAATTGAAGAACTATTCAAAGAAACAGGAGCTGAATTGTGATGTATATCATTGAAGGGTTATCAAAAAACATTAAGTTATTCCTCAGACTGTGCAAAATATCAGTTGCCTTCCTTTTTGTAGATCTCTACCAAAGTACCACTTTGATAATTATCCCAGCAAACACCTGTGCCTACCCCTGTGATAATTGCAATATACAATATTGACTACTAGCCATTATGTTTATAACTTTTTTTTCAAAAATGAATCACAGTTTCAATGCCATAGCCAAAGATCATCATTATTCATGTGCCAGAGACAGAAATTTTGAAAAATGTCACATAATCTGCATCTTTTTTTTGCTATGATTATGACATCCCAGTTGTTTCAATGTTCATTTATTCTTCGTCCAGTTGATAATTTCTATTTCATCTCAATCAACGACTTTGGAATAGAATAGTAGGAAACGCAAAATCAAATATTTGTCAAAATTGTTAATACTGCCAATGATGTTCTTTCTAGATATTTTACCAATTCCGGATGGACACCAAAACAACATCACTTATAAATAACAAAATTGGAAACAGTTAAATTTACTGAATCAAATATGATGAATATTTTTTATTAACATTCCTTGTAACAATGAAAACAGCAGCGCCATCTATATAAACTGTCATAGTGGTTCGAAGTAATCATCTTGCTATTTTCACAGATGTATTTGCTGGGATATTATCAGCTTTTAGAAATATATTTATAGACTTGACTATTGTCCACTGACTGCAAATAAACCGGGAAAAATTGCAACTGAGTAAATTCTCAACACTATTTTGGATCCCTATCCAAAACGAAGCAATCATTTTTATTTATAATTAGTAGAATAATAAGGCAGTTATTATTAGAATTAAGAAAATATTATTACCTAAATGGTGTGTTTGTTCATATATTGTGTATTGATTGTAATTGTTGCCTAAGATGTGTTTGTATGTTAAAAAACATTATAAACATTCAAAAATGCCGAAGGTACATTTCGGAAAATGATTATTTTGAATTCATTCATTTCAAAATATGTACCCCAAATGACATATCCCTGAAAATCAATCATAAGAGAAGATATAAAGTATATACTACCCTAACCTGATACATACACTGACTTCAGTTTGTGATTCTGACTACTATTCCTGACCTATCATTTTTTTTTAATTATTGTTACCACCAACCAGCTACTCCTATGTGTAACCCGTAAAAGGAATGCAAGATTGTGCCGACACATTCATGACATAATGTATGTTTGAACAAACCTATTATTCAGAGTTTTCTGTTCTAGCTCACTTGAATCAACTTGAGAGACATAACTTTACAATCTCCCTGTTTCAGTAACCTTCACAAACATCACTCTCAACTATCTTCTAGATGGATGCTTCATTTAATTTGAATTTGGTTATCAGTGGAAACAACTGTTTTCTAGGCAATTGAATAATATTATTGTTTCAAGACAATAAGATTTCTCGCCAGTTTTGTATCGAATAATTGATTGACTTACTTCGTGCGATATCTATTGTAATTTCACAAACTTATCAAAGTATGGTTACAGTGTAGATTCGTTTGAAATACTTCACAGTATATTGCTGATGAGAAGTAATAAAAAAACATCCAGTCAACTTTTACATTGTATTGATGACTATTCGTTCCGTTCTTCCAAACAAACTCGCTGTTTCAAACAACCTACCTGAGCTTGTAGTTTGATACACATAATTCAATAAACACTTTTATTGAAATTATAAAATCTTAGCTTCATAAGCTTTTTTATTGTTTTGGACTTTTTGTTCTTAATTTGATATGTTGGAGCTGTGCCACCCAATAATGAAACCTACTAAAGAAGGTAGGAGTATGAAATTATATTTGGATATGAGTTTTCAAAATTTGAGTAGATTTTCTGTAATTTGTCCTTTTTTAATTACATTGAAGATAGTTGTTGATGATTGTTGGATAAAAAACATTCAATTTAACTTACAAATATTTTATTTCTTTGAGAGGAAGCAATGTGGATGTATTTGTTTCTAGCAGTAGGGAACTCGTGAAGAAATATATATAACAATACTTTGTTCAGGTAGTCATCAGTACTCGAATTGTCCCTTCTATGATAAATAAGAATTTGGATGCAATATGACCTACATAATCTCATTTTGACTCAACTTAAAGCTTCCCGAAAATAATGTAAGATTCCATCTCTTTGGCAATTCATTCTACAATACAGTGTTGTCAATTTTTCAACTTTAATAATGTGAAATGTAACTCATGTCTCAAAATAATAATCAACTCTGTAAACTTTGAATTGTTCAAATTATGACAAGCAGAAAACTCTAGTGTGCTCGGTGTGTGTTCGGTTTTGAAAATCTGGAGCCAAATGAGCAGATTTGTACCATGTGATCATAGAATCAACGAAGCGAAATATATTTAACAAACGCTCGTTTCTATCTGAAATGTTAACATGACAAGTGGCAACTAGAAAACTTGTCTAATCTTAACGATCTTGGAGCAAACCGATCACATTTTTACCTCGCTCAAGTATGTAGTGTATATGAGGAAAATGAAAGTGATTCAGTAGGACAACAATCCCAGCAACTGAGACTATATCAAATTATAATACAACTTCAACAAATCAAAACTAATGAATTACCCAGAATAGCAACATTTTTTTGTTTGTCAATTTACTGATTTGGAAATCACAATCGTTATTTCAGATATAACGAGCTTCGGAGAAAGTAAGAAAACAGAAATGAGTCATGGACAAGTTATATAATGGGTATTTTCTCTATTGTTTTTTTTAGCAGGTCCCAGTATTTATTAAAATGTATTTATGTGAATTAAACATCAACTCAGTGCTCATTTTATTGAGGAATGTTGTCACTATAACAGTATTTGATCCAATGTTACCAAATGTTCGGATATGCGAATCAAAAAGAGTCGTTTTGATTATTTCACGTCTTTTATAAACTTGTTTGCATACTGGTAGGTTATCGTAATTTTTTCTAACCCCTTTTCTTAATTTGTTTTTATTGATTTCTATTAACTTCATTGATTTTAATTCTACCGTTGTGTTTTCAATTTTCTCCTGTTCTACCTCAGCAATATTTTGAACCTTGTCTCAATAATGTATGTAGAATATGGAACCTCTAGCGTGAACGAATCTATTGAGAAAGAACACTTTTCCCTCGCCAAAAAAAATGTCGGCGCGCGTTTCGCTAACCAAGTTAGCATCATCAGGAGATTGTTAAGATAGTCATCTCCTGATAACTGAAAGCTAATCATCTCCTGATGACTAAGATTTAGTCATCTCGTGGTGATTAAGACTTAGTCATCTCCTGATGATGATAACTTGGTTGCCGAAACGCGCGTCGAGAGAATTCATTTTTGTTCTGGTGAAGGAAAAGTGCCCCGTCGTTTTGAAAGGTACTTTAAAAATACTACAAAACTTTTCTGGAAACGGTTTGTGTTCTTTAGCTCCAAATGAAAAATCAACTATCAACGTTGCAGAAAATAAGTATCAGTTTTTTTGTACTACGAAATAGAAAGAAGTATGTGCCTTCAGCATTTTGAAATTCCACCATTGAGCAGAAACATACATCTCATTTCTGAAGAAAACAAATGGTTATGTCGCATGTTTCAATAAGGTCACGTTTCTAGAAATAAAATTATCAGGAATTACTTTTATATAGATTGGATTCACTATGTTATTACCTCTTAGTCTTTCATTTGAGTTTTTATCGTTTAGTTATGTTAGAGTAGATAAATATTATATATAAATATATTTTTCAGAGTATTCATATACATTGTGTATTTTTAAAGTTTAAGTTTTATATTGTTTCACCTCTAGAACTTTCCATAAACTTTGTATACCGGCAAAAAATTGGACTGTTAAAACACATGCCAAATTTTGGATAACACATCACTTCCCTTAGTACCTACTGAAATAATTTACGAAATTATTTAAAACCGTAAAGTTTTAATTGTTTCTGTGATTTTTTTGTTCAGCCTTCTATTACTCTTCCTTTATTAATTAAAAGATACATTTCCAGAAAAAACTTTTTATATTGTTTGCACTATTTTCTAATGAAATTTCAGTAACAGCATGAAATACATAAAATAAAATAGTTGATATGTCTTGACAACACAAGTTCGGCGGATTTTCACTAGATAACTGCAATAATTTTTAAGCAATCAGGAATATTCTCACAAATAATAAGGTTACTGTTTTCCTAACTCTGTGAAAAATAAGTGGCATCTTTTAACTGTCCAATTCGAATAGAGATACATGTTAATATTATTATATGCAATTATACAATATTATGAGAACAAAAAAGAGAGAAAATGGGAATGACAGTGAAGTTGAATAATGTTATTTTGAGTGAAACAATAAATATTATATTTAATAATTACCATATACTTTGAGTTTCATTTATTTATTTATTTATTTCATACACTATTCTACAGGATGAACCCAATTAAAGAATAGGGAGGAACAGTGGCATTTACATAATATAATTTGTGAATCTATATAGAAACAAAATTAAAAACAAAACTG